ACCCATCTGTTTAGGTCCGCCTATGACCTGTGATGCACCCTCCTTGCCCTGCCTCATTTTCTGTCTCGGGTTAATCCTGTAGTATAGGCCAAAACGTGCCAAAGTGTCCTCGTTTTATAGCCATTTTAATTGTTTCTATAGTATAGTAGTTCCTATCCTAATGTCTCATTTTTATTTTAGTTAGTTTACATGTTTTTAATAATTGTAAAGCGCTTAGAGCTTTAAGGTAAGCGCTATATAAAAATGCCTAAATAAATAAATTCACAAGTATGACCATATTTTCTATTGTATGTCACATGAAATAGTGTCAGATTATGAAAATATCAAACCCATTACTTAAAATTAAACGGAGATTTGTAAATTATTTAAATTGAGTTTGCCATTTCTACGACCCGAAAACGTCACATCGCATGACGTAATTTTGCTATTTTTATGTAGACATAGCCTCTAACAAAGCATTTCCGCATTTATATAGCAGCAGCAATTTGTTTGTAAAATCTTTCGTAAAATGAAGTTGTAAACAAATTTTTGTGTAGAATATGCTGGCTCCCACTAACGTAGAAGTACCGAACAGCTGTTTATAAATTGCCCAAAGGAATACCGGGAAGCTCAATTAATATATTTATTAGATTGGCCAGGCTTTCTGACCGGATGTTCTATTAATAGACTTATGTCATTAAATGACAAACCGCAAACTTGTTTGATGTGGGGTTGAATTTCATTAACAATACTTGTTTCGGTGAAATTGCACTATACGATATTTAAAATTATTTGTGGCGTCATACATTTCACCAAATTTCTATTAAAAAAAATAATTTCTAGTGGATTTATGTGTCTTTATCAGATAGCCTCTCAGGGACAGCCAATGATACTATTGCCATGGCCAAACGCCTCCAGGAAAGCCAAGGTATATCACTTCAACCTCTGTAACCTGATTAACAATTGAATTTATGTATTTCAATAGTACAATTTTATTATAACTATATGAGTAAGAATTTAACTGTCTCATGTTCGTGATTAAGGTGAATCTCATGTTTAATGTCAAGGTGAATCTCATGTTTAATGTCAAGGTGAATCTCATGTTTAATGTCCCTGTGAATCTCATGTTTAATGTCAAGGTGAATCTCATGTTTAATTTCAAGGTGAATCTCATGTTTAATGTCAAGATGAATCTTATATTTAATGTCAATGTGAATATAATGTTTAATGTCAAGGAGAATCTCATGTTTAATGTCAAGGTGAATATCATGTTTAATGTCAAGGTGAATCTCATGTTTAATGTCAAGATGATACTCGTGTTTAATGTCAAGGTGAATCTAATGTTTAATGTCAAGGTGAATCTCATGTTAAATGTCAAGATGAAACTCATGTTTAATGCCACGGTTAATACTCATTTTTAATGTCAAGGTGAAACTCATGTTTAATGTCAAGGTGAATCTCATGTTTAATGTCAAGATGATACTCGTGTTTAATGTCAAGGTGAATCTCATGTTTAATGTCAAGGTGAATCTCATGTTAAATGTCAAGATGAAACTCATGTTTAATGCCACGGTTAATACTCATTTTTAATGTCAAGGTGAATCTCATGTTTAATGTCAAGGTGAATCTCATGTTTAATTTCAAGGTGAATCTCCTGTTTAATATCAAGGTGAATCTCCTGTTTAATGTCAAGGTGAATCTCATGTTTAATGTCAAGGTGAATCTCATGTATAATGTCAAGGTGAATCTCATGTTTAATGTCAAGATGAATCTCGTGTTAAATTTCAGGGTGAATATCATGTTTAATATAAAGTGGAATCTCATAATTAATGTCAAGGTCAATCTCATGTTTAATTTGAAGGTGAATCTATTTTTTATCAAGGTGAATATCATATTTAATGTCAAGGTGAATCTCATGTTTAATGTCAAGGCGAATCTCATATTTAATGTCAAGGTGAATCTCCTGTTTAATGTCAAGGTTAATCTCATGTTAAATGTCAAGGTGAATATCATGTTTAATGTCAAGGTGAATCTCATATTTAATGTCAAGGTGAATCTCATGTTAAGTGTGAAGGTGAATCTCATATCTAATGTCAAGGTGAATCTCATGTTTAATGTCAATGTAAATCTTATGTTTAATGTCAAGGTGAATCTCAAGATAAATGCCAAGGCGAATCTTATGTTTAATTTCAAGGTTAATGTCATGT